CTAAGTATTAGGTTGCCTGAAGAGAAATGTTGCCTCATAATTCTTGTGTTTGCCTCCCCTTTCTTCCTCTCTTTCTTAGTTTTTTGAGTTTTTGTTAGAAAATGACACATATTTTCATCTCTAGCTCGGTCAATACATTTTATCTAGTCAAATTGCCCATATAGTTTTCATTAATGTTTTAGGTAAGATTTAAAATTATTTATTAACATTATAACATCATATTTCATTCAAATTAAAAGAGTATTAACCCCTAACATGGGAGCCTAAACCCTCACAAAGTTACGTAAATATCGAAAAAATAGATATACTATAAACCTTAAAATTTAGAACCGAAACCTTAATCCAAATACAAACATGTAAAATTTGATATTGTTTAAGAATCCTTTCACCATCAATTTAAGATTGTGAATTGATTCTTCGTGCTCATTTTTGATTTTTTCTTTGCTCTTATTCTCCTTGTTTTTCTAAGATTGTTACTTACATCTAAAGTCCCTAGATTTTTTTAGTTATACTCTCACTTTGATTTCGTTTTTTCGTTTTCGTCTTCATCTTTGTCTATTTTCCTTCTTTCTCCAATGTTTATTCTTTTTCTTCTTGATAATCAATTTGGTCATTGTGGTCGGACTCTATTACAAATTTTTGACTATTCTTATTCTTTTTATCGTCTTTATCTTTTCCTTCAAATTTATTTTTGTTTCTTTCTTCTTCTTCTTCTTATGATTTTTCTTCTTCCTCTTCTTTCCCTATTTTTCTTCATCGTCTTTGTCTTACATGACTCATTTTCTGGTTTCTATTAGTCTTTGTCTTTGTTTATTCATCGTCTTTGAACTTCTTTTTAATTTTCTTTATCATTGTTCTTCTTATTACTTTGCTTTTCAAAAGATTGTTATTTGCGGTTGAATTCGCTATGATTTTTCTATTGGTTTCTTGGTTATTCTCCAAATTTTATTCGTTTTTTTCGTTTGAGGTTGTCTTCATTTTTATTTTCTCTTTATTCTTTCTCTTTTTTTGTTTTTCACCGTCTTCCTTTCTCATAATTTTTATTTTGCGTTTTCGACTTCTTCTTCTTCCAATTTTTTTGTCTTCTTCTTTCGAATTTTATTATTTTTCTTCTTCTAACTTTTCTTCTTTCACCTCATTTCCCTTCTTTTTCTTGATCAACTTCTTTTATCTGATTTTTTTTCCTTCTTACTATTCTTCTAGTGTTTCCTTGTCTTTGTTATTTACACTCAATTCAAACACCACTTTGAGAATATAACAAAGTTGAGTTATAAGAAATTCACATCTCTTTCATATAAGATGTGCAACCAATGAAGTAATTTAGATAATCATAAGATGCAACAAGTAGCAGCGAGAGTAAAGCAAATAAACATAGTATAAATCATTGATGTATAGAAGTATAAGGGATTAGATCTTGTCTCTTTGTTGAAGAACAAATCAAATCTACCCTTAGGCTTTAGAATCAAATATGAATAAAGAACAAAAGCAAAACCAAAATACATATTTAGGTATTGATTTAGGATGTTCGACTGGCTGCTCTTCCTTCCTAGAGAGGCTAAAAGCGAGTATATATAGTGTTTGCAAGGTCCTAAGTCGGCTAGGTTTGTCTTCGGGAAAAAGAATCTTTTTGGTCGAACTTGAGGCAACATCGATCTCAATATCGGTCGATTTGCGTGAACGATATTTGAGGCTTCCATGACGCTTCTAGAAGGTCGGAAAGAGTCTAGATCATCGGCCCACAGAGCGGTCCGGTGCCTGGCTCGTTTCTACAATTGCTTCATTTCTAAGGCAGTTTGACATGTCTTCAGTGTTTCTAGTGTATCTTCTAAAGTACAGCTCCATTGGAAAGCTAACTCAAATGGTTACCTTCCCACAAAGTATCATTAGATTCCAAATTGATTTGATCCTCCGTTCATCAGTGAACTTCCGGCGTATGTGTTATGTCCAACTTGAGAATATACTTTATCTTCAAGATATAGTGATTTGGCTTGACTCTTTTGAGTTGAATAAGTCGTTGTATCATAGGTAACATTCCTATACGAGAAAACTACCTCTTTTGGTTGAAAGGTTTTAT